TATGAAGGGTTAGAGGAAGCTATTGTTTCTCCATCTCAACTAGTAAAATATAAAACTAAGGAAGATTTTCAGCAAGAAAAGGCCAATGAAAAACAGCCTTTGAAGTATGGCTAAAGTCAAAGGTATGACCTCAAACCTGTTGTTAAAACTTCTGGATAAATTAAGATGTTACTCAGCATATCTTTCACTTACAGAAAGGAGCTCTGGAAAAGGAAGGAAAAGTAAGACTCTCCCACCTAAGCCCAATAAGCCCAAAGCACTCAAAACCAAGTCAGGAGAAAGAGACAGAAAGACAGAGAAAGAATATGAGAAATGAGATGAATGAGATAGATATTAGCAGCCACAACAGCAAGAAAGCAAAGAAACATGGAAACCATGGGTGCTTGTGTGGAAAAGAACTGGCTGCAGCTACTGGCACATAGAAAGCCTGGAATCAGATAGATAAGAAACGTACACTTTGGGGAGGGCTCCACTGCCAAAAGAACATCAGCCTGGATTAAAGGAGACTGTATTCCCCCACGTCTCTCCCTATTTTTAAAAGCTGATTTTAAAACCTATTCCCTATGCCTGCTTTATATGTGGAGAAGGACGAGTCTCTCAGAGTACAAGGCCAGGGGTCACGGAAAACAATGGCCAAGGCTGCTACACTTCGGGAGCAGAATCCAGGTCTATTCAGGGTGTTGGGTAAGGTGTGGGATGAGCAACATGTCTGCTCTGTGGATTAATGTCCACAGTGGTGTCCCCTTCCTTCACTTTGGTGTACCCATTGCAGTTACCCTGTCTGTCCCACTGTTATACCCTGAGGGTGTGCTGGGCAGACATCTTGCCTTTGGATGAAGAGACACATCTGGAGCCAATATAGAGTCTACTACGCGTCACCCACTACCTGGAAAGTGAGCTCGATATACTGTGACTAGATAGGTCTGCAGGGTTATCCCCTTGAGGAGAATGTGAGGGAATTCTGCCTGAGGGAGGACAGTAAGCCAAACATTTGGTGAACAGAAAGGGCGACTGTTCGAGTCATTAGTGTTGTTCCCCAAATATTCCTGGCTCTCTTCCTTCAAGACACTTGGCAGGATTACAGAGCTCTAAAGTCAGGCAAGGCCACGTGACTGGCTCCGGCCAAGGATGTGTGAGCAGGAGTGCAGCGTATCACTTCCAGGTGGATGCTCTGAGAGCAGTGAATGATCTGCTGCCTCCCCTCCACCCAGCCCAGACAGTAATGAGATGTATGCATCAAGATGAAGCCTTCTTCAGCCCAAGTCCATGGTGAATGGAACTCCCCTGCAGACTCACAGTGGGGACGTGGCATGAGAAGAAACTAACTTGCTGGGGTAAGCCACTGAGATGGTAGGGTTGTTCGTTGAGGCAGCAGAGCCCAGGCTTTCCTGATCCTTGGAGTGAGGGATGGGACTAGAGAGCAGGAGCTAGGCTGTGAAAGGCCCCCCTCCTACACAAAGGCATCTGAACCCTCTCCTGGTTGTGAGGGGAAGCCAGTGAAGGCTTCCAAGCAAGGGCGTTAACATGAAAAGATCTGTTATTTTTTGGATGAAATATGCTATTTCTCAACATAAGGAGAAAATCAGCCTACAAACCACATAATGCAGAGAGAAACACACAGAACCCTTAGGCAAAAGATATATATTTATATAACGTCCTAAGTTTTGAAATTTCTAAATACAGGAGCTCTGAAAGGAGGCTTTGAAAGGAGCTACAGAGAACTGGGCAAGACAATTTCTTCCATCGCACTATCTAAACACTGTTTCCTCTGCAGACAATCAATACTTTACAAGAAAGTCTCCCATAGCAAAGAAGATATAAAAAGGGAATGTAACAAACACCTGAAGTCAGTTTCCAGCTGACTGTGTGACCTGAGCAGGATACTTAAAGTCTCTGGACCTAGTTCCTCATATATTAAATCTGGATAATAATATATGTAGCTCAAGATAGTTGTGGGGGAGAAACAACATATATAAATTGCTCTGGTGAAGGCCTGGCTGATAGTAGGTGTTTATTACATGGCATCCATTTTTGTTACTGTTATCATTAAAATTATTTTTTTAAAAAACAGCATCTCCCTGATTACAAAAGAAAATGATTCAGGGCAACAATGTAGAGGAAAATGTTCCTTCCTGGAGAAAAGTAACTGGATCTTGTCATCACTGTATTCCCCACCCCCACCGCACTGCCTGGCTCACAGTAGCCACTGTTTTCCCTGCTGCATGAGGGAATGAGAGACAAGTAAAGGAAGTAAAGGAAAGCTGTCAAGATGTCCCTGACACCAGCTGCTCCTGGGCTGCTGAATCTCAACTCTCAAAGCCACAAATACCTTAAAGCTGCGGGCTATGAACCCAAGGCTAAAGTCCGCCAATCTGAGAAGCTGAAAAGCCAGAATTAGGACCTAGGGACATAAACTGCTGCAGGTCCAACGTCAAACCAGGGTCCTGGAGAAAACCCTGGAAGGAGCTGAGTTCTGACCCTTTCCTCCCTCCCCCTCCTCACAGGTTAAATTCACCTGTTCCTGCCAAGTCACACTCTTATATCCTGGCATTCCATGGACGCTCTGGGAAGCTCCGACGAAGGGAAGGGAAAGGGGCTGTTGGTGACCACTACCTAGCCCTGGAGGCGATGACTCTACAGTAACCCAGGCCTGTGAGGTGGGTCTCACCAGCCCCACTTGCAGATGAAGGAACTCAAGGGAAGTTCTCTGATTAGCTCCCTGCACACCGCGGCAGCGCTGGCCAGGAGAGAACCCACGATTCCAGACTTGGATATTCTTTCCACCCGTACACTTTCGTCCCTAAGGGGTGCGGGGTTGGGGAAGGAGAAAATAACAACCACTAAAAAGGAGCCACTTACATGGGTCTAGCGCTTCCTAGAGGCTACACAGGATATGGGCCCACCACCCGGCCGGGAGCGGAGAAATTTTAAATCTTCATTCTACTCACTCGCTGCGTGACTTTTGGCAAGTGTCTGCTGCTCTCGGACTTGTTTTCCCGGAAGCAAATCGGGGCGGGAGAAGTGGCGTGTGCGTGTGTTTTTGTGTACGTGTGATGTGCGGGGTGTCTATGCATGTTGTGCGGGGGCGGGGAGTAGACGATCACCGGGGTTCCCCGAGTTTCGGATTCCCTAAACGCTCGTTCACAACTAGACGCCGAGTTGCCCCCTAAATCCATCCACCTCCTGTAAGAAACCTCTCCGAAGCAAAGACTCGAACGCCCGCACCCCTTCTCCCACGGTCGGGAGGGTGAGTTGGGGGTCCAGAGGTTTCAAGCAATGCAAATCACTGGGCTTCCAGACAGAGCCAGACAGTCGCTATTGAACTTGACCAGGAGACAAACTTCAGAGCATTCTCAACGTGGGGGGCCGGACTCTCACGAACTGCCCCCAGATTTAAAAGCCACTTTCACTCGCCCCCACAGGGGACTTAACAGAGCCACCTTAAGGGCGGTGCTCCCGCCCCCCGGAAGTGCGGGAGGGGCCAGGGGCCCGGGTGCTCTACCGGCCCGGCCCACCCCGCACGGCGGCGAAGTGCCCGCGAGTGACATCGAGCCCCCAAGTGGGGAAATACCACCCGCCCCGCGCCCTCGGCTCCAGGCACCTGGCTCGGTTCACCCGGCCTCCTGGGTCCTAGCATCCCTGGCATTCCCGTCCGAGCCCTAAACTTCAGCCCACTTCCCTCAGAGGCTGGGAGCGCCCGAGTCCGCCCGGCTCGCGGCAGCCACCGTCACTAGACAGTCAAACCCCAAGACGTCAGCCCACAATGCACCGGGCGGGCCGGGAAAGACGCGCCGGGGAGGGAGGGGGAAGAGAGGGGCGCGAGTCGCGCGGAGGGGGGTGGGGGGGGGAAGGAGGAGAAAGAAGGGCCCAACTGTAGGAGGGCAACGGAGCATTACCTCATCCCGTGAGCCTCCGCGGGCCCAGAGAAGAATCTTCTAGGGTGGGGTCTCCATGGCGACGGGTGGGCCCGCCCCCCTGAGGGCGACGCGAGCCAATGGGAAGGCCTTGGGGTGACATCATGGGCTATTTTTAGGGGTTGACTGGTAGCAGATAAGTGTTGAGCTCCGGCTGGATAAGGGCTCAGAGTTGCACTGAGTGTGGCTGAAGCTGCGAGGCGGGAGTGGAGGTGCGCGGACGCAGGCAGGCAGGCAGGCACAGTCAGTTGGGAAGGGCTGCAAATCCTATTTTCCAATTTCTCTCCCAACTGCCCGGAGCTAGCGCTTGTGGCTCCCGGCCTGGTGTTTTGAGGAGAGCCGGGAGAGCCCCTTCTCCAGCCGCCCCCAGGCGGAGAGCCCCTCTGCGCGGGCGCTGCTGACAGCGCGGAGAGCGGCCACTGTCCGCCCGGGGAAGTCCGGAGAGCGGCTGCAGCGGCAAGAACTTTCCCGGCCAGGAAGACAGGGGACAAGTGGCCGCCGGGTCCCGGAACGAACTTTTGCAAACCTTGCCTCCGCCCGAAGCTGCCGCGGCGGCGGTGAAGAAAAGGAGGCGGCGGAGAGAGGAGGACGTGCGCTCCGCTTCGCTCGCACCGGTTGCTGAACTTGGGCGAGCGCTAGCCGCGGCTGCCGGGCGCCCCCTCCCCCTCGCAGCGGAGGAGGGGACAGTCTTCCGAGTCGGGGCGGTGGACACCCGCCGCCGGCCGGCCACCGCGGGATCCGCGCTCCCTGCTACCACCGGGAAGCGAGTTCGTCCGCGGGCTCTGAGGAACCGCTGCGCTCCAGAGAGCTCCGTGAGTGACCGCGACTTTTCAAAGCCGGGCGGCGCGCGCGAGCGGACAATTAAGAGCGCGGGTGGCGTGTTAACCCTGCGATCCCCCGGACCGAGCTGGTGAGGAGGGCGCCGGGGGGGGCTGCCAGCCGGCGGGGGCGCGCGCTCTTCCAGAAACTTTCCTTGCTTACCGCCCGAGGAGGCGCGGGTGTCCCCCGCTTGCCAGCGCGCTGTTGCGACCCCGAAACTTCTGCGCGCAGCCTCAACTAAGCCCACGCGAAGTGACGGACTGTTCTATGACTGCAAAGATGGAAACGACCTTCTACGACGATGCCCTCAACGCCTCGTTCCTCCAGTCTGAGAGCGGCGCCTACGGCTACAGTAACCCCAAGATTCTGAAGCAGAGCATGACCCTGAATCTGGCCGACCCGGTGGGCAGCCTGAAGCCGCACCTCCGGGCCAAGAACTCCGACCTCCTCACCTCGCCCGACGTGGGGCTTCTCAAGCTGGCGTCGCCCGAGCTGGAGCGCCTGATCATACAGTCCAGCAACGGGCATATCACCACCACGCCGACCCCCACCCAGTTCCTGTGCCCCAAGAACGTGACGGACGAGCAGGAGGGATTCGCCGAGGGCTTCGTGCGCGCCCTGGCCGAACTGCACAGCCAGAACACGCTGCCCAGCGTCACGTCGGCGGCGCAGCCAGTCAGCGGGGCGGGCCTGGTGGCCCCAGCGGTGGCCTCGGTGGCGGGTGGCAGCGGCAGCGGCGGCTTCAGCGCCAGCCTGCACAGCGAGCCGCCCGTCTACGCCAACCTCAGCAACTTCAACCCCGGCGCGCTGAGCAGCGGCGGCGGGGCGCCCTCCTACGGCGCGGCCGGCCTGGCCTTTCCCGCGCAGCCCCAGCAGCAGCAGCAGCAACCGCCGCAGCCGCCGCACCACCTGCCCCAGCAGATCCCGGTGCAGCACCCGCGGCTTCAGGCCCTGAAGGAGGAGCCGCAGACGGTGCCCGAGATGCCCGGGGAAACGCCGCCCCTGTCCCCCATCGACATGGAGTCCCAGGAGCGGATCAAGGCGGAGAGGAAGCGCATGAGGAACCGCATCGCTGCCTCCAAGTGCCGGAAAAGGAAGCTGGAGAGGATCGCGCGGCTGGAGGAAAAAGTGAAAACCTTGAAAGCGCAGAACTCGGAGCTGGCGTCCACGGCCAATATGCTCAGGGAACAGGTGGCCCAGCTTAAACAGAAAGTCATGAACCACGTTAACAGCGGGTGCCAACTCATGCTAACGCAGCAGTTGCAAACGTTTTGAGGCGAGACTGTCGGGGGCTGAGGGGCAACGGAGAAAAAATATAAATAACACAGAGAGACAGATTTGAGAACTTGACAAGTTGCGAGAGAGAAACAGAGAAAAAAAAAGTGTCCGAGGACTAAAGCCAAGGGTATCCAAGTTGGACTGGGTTGCGTCCTGACGGCGCCCCCAGTGTGCACGAGTGGGAAGGACTTGGCGCGCCCTCCCCTGGCAAGGAGCCAGGGAGCGGCCGCTCGCGGGCTGCCCCGCTTTGCGGAGGGGCTGTCCCCGCGCAGACAGAACGTTAGACTTTTCCTTAACATTGACCAAGAACTGCATGGACCTAACATTCGATCTCATTCAGTATTAAAGGGGTGGGGTGGGGGAGGGGGTTGCAAACTGCAATAGAGACTGTAGATCGCTTCTGTAGTACTCCTAAAGAACACAAAGGGGGTGGGGGAGGGGAGGCGGGAGGGAGGTTTGTGAGAGCGAGGCCCAGCCTGCAGATGAGCTCTTTCTGGCCTGCCTTCCATAACTGTGTATGTACATATATATATTTTTTAATTTGATGAAAGCTGATTACTGTCAATAAACAGCTTCATGCCTTTGTAAGTTATTTCATGTTTGTTTGTTTGGGTGTCCTGCCCAGCCTGTTTGTAAATAAGAGATTTGGAGCACTCTGAGTTTACCATTTGTAATAAAGTATATAATTTTTTTATGTTTTGTTTCTGAAAATTCCAGAAAGGATATTTAAGAAAATACAATAAAATATTGAAAAAGTTACCCCTCCCCCAACCTCTTTTCTGCATTATCTATAGATTACTTGTCTAGGTGGAGCTGAAAGAGTGTCAATTAAAATCACTGTGGGTGCTTCTTACTAGCAGGCCCTGAAAACTGTTGTCTGCTGGACTTGAGAAAGAACTGCAGCTGATGCTCTCATCAAGTTATACTTTTCCCTCCCCAACAATCTACATACAGTTGCTTACAAAGGATAGTGTGGCATTTCAGGAAGATGAGAGAAGGGAGGTTGTGGTGGAGAGGGACAGCCCACTGGGAAATCTAGCATTTTAGTTTGGATTATATCAAGTGGCATGTGCTGTGACCATTTATTATGTTAGTAGAAATTTAAACAATAGATGCTTATTCTCAAAGCAGGAATGGTGGCAGATTTTTACAAAAGCTGTATCCTTCCAATTTGGAATCTTTAACAATTCCTAGATAAAAGAGATGGTCTTTGCTTATGAATATTTATAACAGCATTCTTGTCACAATAAATGTATTCAAATACCAATAACATCTTGATTTCCTTTCCCTTTTCTACTTTTTTTCTTCCCAAGCTCTATTCTGAAGCTTTTCAGTTGCTGGGGTTAACATTATTGCCATCTGAAGTTATTTGGTAATTAAGAAGCAAAGAATTTAGGAAAAGTCAACACAGAAGTTGCAGTCTGGATGAAAGTTCTCCCTGCTTCATTCATTCTCTTTCTCTCTCTCTCTCTCCCCCTACTTCTTTCCACTCCCTCCCTCCCTGAAATAAACACCTGTGCCTAGACAAATTACCAGTATAGCAATTTACTGTTTCAAATTCTTCTAAAGTGTCTTCATTTGTCTCTAAAATAACCTTGCTTAAATTATTATAGACTCTCAAAAGGTGGTAATCTAGATACTATAAAAATTCACAAGAGAAAAAACATGAACATAAATGCAGTGATGGCTTATGTATTAATAAACCTTCACTCTGGGGAAATGGCAAACTTAAATTCCGTCTGCAGATAAAACTTAGGAGATCAATAAGGCAGAACTCAACAAGGGAGCAAATTTTGCTTGGTTGCTTTTAATCCCAAGAGCCAGTGTGATTTTCAAGCAGCAAAAGCAATTTGATATCCAGGAATATTTCACAAACCACTAATTGAGGCAGGCCGTTTGCTCATTAGCAGTGCTCTAGTACCCAACAGGTCTGAGAGTGCTAATATCCTGCCTGTGGCTGTAAATCCAAAGACACAAAGAGGTTTTCCTTGGGAGGATATCTAGGAGTGGAAGGGATTGGACTGAGTTGTTACCTATCAGATACTCCATTGTAATAATACTCCTTTAACAAAGGATTACTGGGAGCAGAGACGAGTTTGCCAAACAGTGAATTTGCTGATGTCAGCAACCCGGAAGGTGAGTTTATTTTGACCATATGTAGGAATAGTGAGCAGAGGGACAATAAAGCACTCTGGGGTGGGGCTCTGTGGAAGCTAAACAAGAGCCAACTAGAAAAAATAAGCAGGCTGGGGAATTAATTACCTGCAAAGGTAGACTAAGCCCAGACAACAGAGCAGCACAGAAAAGCCACACCACTCCCCAGTTTGCTTTAGACTCTGACATTAAAAAAAAAAAAAAAGCCTGAAACTCATACCTATCGCTACCCTTGTTTGTTTCAATTATGGCTTTGAATGTATATCCCTGAAACTCTAACAAAAGAGACAGAAAAAAAAATTGTGGTAGAGGAAATTCACCAATGATCTCCTGTAAACCTTGGAGACAGAAAATCAGATACTTGCAGATACTCAAAAGTCAATGTTAAAAAAAAAGTCAGTGTTATTTTGACACTCAATGAGTTATTGTTTGGGTAACACTAACAGTTGGAGAAGATGAAACCAGTGGTACATGAAACCATGAATCCTCTTTTACTTTGTTTTCCCTATGTGTATTTCAGAAATTCTTAACTCTTTGTGTCCGCTGGGGGAGAGGGCTCATGAACTCAGTGAAAATGCCTACAAATTGTGTTTGTGTATGGGTGTGTACATGTGTACACACACACACACATACTCCCCTAGGGGGAGAGATCATTAGCTCTGTTTAGTTCTCAAAAATTTCCATGACTCAAAAAAGGTTAATTTATAAGCTGAATGTTTATACATTCACTATGAAAAACGTATCTGTGTGTGAATTTGAATTTCGTGCATTTCACCTCTTCATGCTTCTTGTACACATTTCTCTGCCTGGAATACTTTCCCTTCTGGCTCAACTGCTGAATCCTACCCATTTTTCAAGGTTTAGCAAAAGTGGCACCTTCTCTGTGATGCCTTTCCTGCTAACTCCCTCTTCAGGTGGAATGAATATTCTCCATTGAGCATCCCTAACATTTTATCAAAACTTCTGATAGCACTTATCAAAGGAGTATCATTGTGAACCTCTATGTGTCGTGGTCAGCGCCTACTCTATTCATCTGTGGACCCCAGACTCCTAGTACAGTTCCTGGTTGCATAGATGTTCATAAAATAAATGTGTGTTAACAGGATAGACAATTGAACTTAAATGCTCCAAAATAATTCTAGGTTAATTTCTTGTAGTGCAATATGCTTCATCCATTTCCAAGTGTACAACTCCAAATGGATTGAAGACCCTCAGAGAAGTCAAGTCTGAACAATCTCCAGGTACTAAAGCCTAGTTCTCAATGAGTGCTCTTAAGAGAATTAAACTGTTAGCACCTTCATTCTTCCTGGCTTCCCTAGTAATTCAGTGGTAAAGAATCTACCTGCCAGTGCAGGAGATGCAAGTTTGTTCCCTGGGTTGGAAAGATCCTCTGGAAAAGGAAATGGCAACCCACTCCGGTAATCTTGCCTGGGAAATTTGGACAGAGAAGCCTGGCAGGCTACAGTCCATGGGGTCACAAAGAGTCAGACACAACTAAGCAACTAAACAACATTCTTCCCCAGCCACACAGAGTGTCCCTTCCCTCCTCTGCTAATGCAAGTGGGCATTTTCTTATATCAAATGGGCCTATTCGAAAAATTAGGCTTGGAGGTGGAGATGGGGAAGGATAAAATGTGATCATTAGGCAGGCACAAAAAATAGTTCTAGATGTAGCTTTATTAAAACCAACTATTCTGTTGGTAATGACTGAAAGAAATTTCTGTTTGCAAAGCTAATGTATTTCAGGGGTCCAGAAGTTAGTATTCAAAGTTTACTTGATGGAGACATGCTAATATATCTAATCCCCATGTAATTTTATTATTAGGGAAGATGCACATCGATTGAATCAAGAAAAAAAATATCTTTCAGTCTTGCTTACCCCTTGCTCCCACCACCTACTTCTGTATGCATCAAGTAGAATGATATAGAAGAAGGGAAGAGGGCTGGAAGCTGGGATAGCCACAGAAGGTGAAGCAATCCGTTCCTAACTCTGAAATTTGGCTACAGTTATTTGGTTTTGGACTTTTGACATCACAAAAAGGGCATTGCCCTGGGCCTACAACACAAACCCTGTTCTCTAGGAACTCCGGTCTGGTGGGGAGGAATACAGAGATGAAGCGGAAAGAGGTCCCAGATGCAGGAGGAGGCATCTTTATCAGGAAAGACTTCACAGGTGAAGTGACATCTTGGTGGAACTCAGCAGGCAGAAAAAGATGCAGGAGAAACCTGTGTGCAAAGGCACAAGGCATCAGAAAACATGTGATAGGGGACTTGTAAGCTGCTTGGAGAGGCTGGAAATAAAGATGTGAGAAGAAAAATGAAGGAGAAGAAGCAGATAAATTTAAGGTTTCATTTGTGAAGTACTATCTGTTCCACACCAAGAGTTTGATTGTTATCCTGGTCTTTGTGGAGAAATACTCAAATTGAGACTGATTAAAGAAAGCTGAGCACAGAAGAATTGATACTTTTGAACTTTGGGGTTAGAGAAGACTCTTGAGAGTCCCTTGGACTGCAAGGAGATCCAACCAATCCATCCTAAAGGAAATCAGTCCTGAATATTCATTGGAAGGACTGATGTTGAAGCTGAAACTCCAATACTTTGGCCACCTGATGTGAAGAACTGACTCATTTGAAAAGACCCTGATTCTGGGAAAGATTGAAGGTGGGAGGAGAAGGGGACAACAGAGGATGAGATGGTTGGATGGCATCACCAACTCAATGGACATGAGTTTGAGTAAGCTCTGGGAGTTGGTGATGGACAGGGAGGCCTGGCGTGCTGCAGTCGTGGGGTCGCAAAGAGTCGGACACGACTGAGCAACTGAACTGAACTGAGATGATTTAAG